TCACTCTTCTTCATTCTTCCTTGCAGTATAAATATCAAGGAAAATCAGTGCTGTTAATTCTTTGTGGCAAAGATATCTCCAAAATATGTTATCCCAATTCACAGCTAATAATGCAACAAGAATCTGAGCACTAGCAGTAAATTATCCACAGAGGAATAAAATTTCACTCATTTTCCCACAAAATCAACTGTTACATTTTACTGGTTTTAAGATTTTTCTCCTTGAAGATTACTTGACCACTATATTTTCCCTGAGACTATTCTGATCCTTTTTGTATTATTCTTTTCTTTTTTTCTTTCTTTCTTTTTATTAAGAATCAACTGGTTTTTTTAAGCTTAGTAAATTCTCAGCTTGCCAAGCTAAATATTCCAGACAAGGAGTTACTTGTCCAAAGTAGTTCTGCTATGGTAATGCACCCTGACCTTTCTAGCAAAGGGCATTTGAGGTTGTGAAACAAGCCCTCAGCATGTGAGGTGCTGCTGGAACACCAAATGCCTTCACTACCCTTTCATGCCATGCTCCTGCAACCTGACAGTTACTTACGGGACCTGCCTTAAAGGTTGTTTTATGGTTGTGACTTTGGCTGCAAGACTGTTTTCACTCCTGCAGAGAGAGCAAGTGTGCTTGCAATCAAGTTTTATACTTAAAAGCCTGTCTGTGCTGTTATCAAGAGCACAGCTCTAACCTCTTGTTGCTCATGATATTTCTGTAGCCCCTTTTGCTCCTGTGGAAGACCCTGGCTATACCAGAACGTGCTCATCATGTGGACACAATTGCTGCTCCATCTGCCATGAGAGGAATTGTGCCCAGCTGTAAACTTCAAAGATGTTACTTGTTTTCTTTCATACCAAAGCAGACAGCAGACTTCAGCTTCTTGTCCACACATTAGCAGCTACTGTGTTTTGCTAGTCTGAGCAGCTACAATTCAGCTTCGTGAGAGTAGTCTGCTCAGAACAGTGATCTGCACAGAACTGCCCACCTCCTCTTCCCTCTTCCTTTTCCCTCCGTGTGTGCCATCCCAGGGTAAAGCCTGGAAGCTGCTGAAGGTCTCCAGAAGCTGGAGGAACTGCAGGTTTGCAGCAGGTGGTGGAGTTGGCTCTGCTCTTCTTCCTTTCTCAGTTCCCAGGTGATATCTTTTAACTGATGCTGCAACAGCAGGGAGAAGAAAGCACCCTGGGTGCTGCTGTATTTAAGGGTCTGCTTCTGCCATGTGAGTTAGGAGATATTTAAAGGTATAGTACGTGTTCCTCCTAGGGCAGGGAGAGAGGCTGTGTACTGTGTGGGGAATGCATAACATTCAGGTTCTGATCAGGGAGTTGTTTTGCTTTCTGAGCTGGGAGTTTCGATTTCATGCAATAAACTCAGCCCCAGTGCAAGGGTCTGGAAGAGACTTGCATATGACACTGCTTTCCTTGTGTGGTGGGGTGGGAATTACAGGGTTTTCTTCCACCTCCCAGGTGCTGGCAACTGCTACTTTTGTCAGCACACTGCTGGCCATGGGGGACATGCAGGATAGTTAGGCCAAAAATATATTCGTGAGTGAGAAGACTTTTCAAACTTCCAAATGAAGTTTCACATAAATTGATTGCATAACAGGTGCTCTCCCCACTACTGTCTCCCCATCCTGCATATCGCCTGTCTGAAAAGTGTTCTTGAATGTATGGAGGTTTTTTTCGCTCTTGTATGGATGAGGATTTTGTACATACTTCCTACTCAGAAGAGCCAAGCCATCAATAGTTAAGAACCTCATGCCAATGTTGAGGAAGCAATAACAATGTTGTCTCTCTGCCTTACCTATGGAAGCTGGCAGCAGCAATCATAGCAAGGCCTGGGCCAAACCAGTAAGCTCTGTTGTGCCATTTGAGTAACAGTGGTCTGTTCTCAGAGGGGAAAAAAGGATGATAGGAAGAAAAAATAAATTCTAAAGGCTGAGCACGATGTTTTCTGTTTGTCACTCTTAAATTGAACACAGTTATGTTTTTTTCCCCCTCTGTTCCCTAATTTCTGTTTTCAGTTTCTTTAAAAGGCTGGAAATTGATCAGTTTAGAACCCAGAGAGCTTTTAATTTATCGAAATTGTCTTATTCCAAAGATTAAATGAGCACAGCTCCCTGAGAGAGGGACTCACACTGAAAACTAAACCAGATTAACTGTTTCTTGTCATGTTTTGATATCTAGGCTGGCCTCATGCACATCCACAGATTGCAGTGCTGATTTTGCAATAGAGTATTCTGCATGGCTGTGTGTCACAGCATGCAATCAGGGCTGATTCCTCTTATATGCCTCTACTCCCAAATCTCTGTGGACTCTTGAGTATTATTCTGCATAATTTTTCTTTCCTGCATTAAGTAACTGTGCTTCGTTTCGTTAGTGAGACTAGCCAGCAAAATAAGTGGGATTTCAGATGTAGAATATCAAACTCATACTGCACATGAGCAATCAGCTTCCCATCCCTGTTTGCCTTTGGCTCAAAGATTTTATTTGTAACTGAGTACACTTGTACTTAGTACTGTAACATCATATTGTAAACCCTTAATAACCTGAGAATGTCAGCCTGGGCTCATGGGTATTTACTGTCTCTCAGAGGAGTGAGACATGCTACAGCTGTTGACAGATTTGGCTCAGGGTATAACGTAACGTAACAAACTTGTGAGGAGCTATTGCATCAATACAACAAGTAGGTTCAATCAGCAACACAGTACACATACATATACTTTGCTAACAGACATGAATATAGGACTATAAAAGGACTGTGAAGTTTACTATGTTTGCCTAGAAAACTGTGATTTAAAATAATTTCTCTCTCACGTAGTTGTTTGTTCATTTGCGCCTGTATCATTGACTTACAAATACATTTATTCTGTTAAAAGGTTATTTACATGCTTAACTGTATCTTTGCTATCCATACTCCTTGTGTGTAAGAAGCCTGACAATTAATGCTAAGCTTAATTCCACATTTGCAGAAGTTGGCCCACAGATGGCTGTTAATTTCCCTTGGTACCCATATAAACCAACGTTTCTGTTATTTTACTTACAAAATAAACACCATAGATTTACTTAATTATATTTGATGTCATAATTCCAGGTTTTCCTTTGGCCTTCAGGGGCTCAGGGCCCTCAGGGTAGCTTTCCTCATTATTAAACAACAGTCGTATAGCTGTAGTTAGTAAATTATGGTTGAAGACATGCATTAAAACCAATGCACAGCAGTTTCTATAATAAAGTGAAAAACGCACCTTTACGGTGAAAAATGTGGTTTTCCAAAGGGAAAGCGTGAAATGCAGTTCAAAACTGTTACCTTTATTTGCTATTTTGTCCTCCCTTTGAATGAATGATGTCTGCATTTTAAAGAGGAAAATCATTGGAAACAGCATTCACAATGAAATGGGACAGAGATTGTTGCTGCTTTTAATACATTTTTAATTTCAGCTGGTGTTTGAAACCACTTTAAGGGCAGAAGTGACTTGCAGCAGGGTCTGGTCACACCACAGACTATATCCTCATGGACCAAGCCATGGGAGCTCTCATGATTCTTGGCAGATGGATGTCTTCGTCTCTTGCCTCTGTGTCTCCATGTACTTTTCAAAAAGACCTCCAAGGGTCATCCTTTATCCACAGCCCTCCTCTGAACACAGGGCCTTGTAGCTGCCTGAAACAAACAGCTATCCCCAGTGATTTTTTAATATATGATTTTATTTCTATCCCACCTTGTGTGATTGTTTGTCTTCGGCAGCAACAGTGTAAGTGACCATTTGGAAGTCTAAAATATGTAAAGCACAAGTTCTTTAGCCAAAGTTCCTCTACTGCAGAATTTGCTCCTACACTTCATATTGCATATTTTAAAATGTAATGCTGGCTGGAGGAAGCAGATAATAATCCAGTGGCTGTTGACAGAATTGGAAGATATATTGTATGCAATCAGCATTGCACAACAGATTTAATTACATGGTAAAATTAATTTATCAAGTTTTTGTATTTATGCTTTGATTATTCATCATCAAGTTTCTGTATGCATTTTGGGACGGGTCTTTTTTGGTCTAGTCCAAGCACTGCTGAACTGCTCTGATTTGTTGGATATGTCACTGTAGTTGCAATGCTTTGCTGCTTTTTTTTTTCTTTTGCATTTTTATGCTCTGAAAGTAACATCTTTTTCTTTATCTTTTTTAAAGATAAAGACATTCCCTGCTGATACATCTAATCCTTTTTTCGATCCTTTTACAACAGTACCACAGTTTTCTGTAAGTAGAACGTGCAACTAAAAAAAACTGTGTTTTAACACAATTCCAGCTGATTTTTTAAGTGTCAGAAATCTATGCGCTAAGAAGTCCTCAAAAATAAAAAGTATAAATTCCAAGTAAAAATTAGAGTATGAATCAGTTAAATATTCCCATTATACAAAATATTGCCTGCATTCAGACATTGCTGCTTCCTAGACAGAGGACTAAGAGTTAAAGGTCAAGGCTCACAACTAATGAAGTCAATCCCAAAATGTGCTGTTCAGGACTGCAGAGGACACTTGTGAAGCTCCACAGCATCTTTCCAAGGAGCAGTAAGGGAATGGGAAGACTCAGTCCTCTGTCTAGCAATTGCATGGCCTCCTGCCTGAAACTGCCTGCTGTGCCATCACAAAGAGGGCCCTGATTTTCACTGAATTTCCATCTGAATTTTAAGGAAGAATTGTAGTTACTGTGTTGATGACTACAATGGTATCCTTGTGTAAACTCCCATGTTTACCTAATAACTTGAATCCAATACTGAATTTGATTCTTGTTAAACTTTCACAGAAGACGTGACTTAGGGATTTTGGTAAGGTAAACTGCATAAAACCAGAAAACAGTTATTTGACAATTTAAAAAGTGAGTACAATCTAAGTCCTACTTTAATGGTAGAAGCATTCTGTAATAAGTATGACAAAATTAACTACTCTATAAGAAACACTCTCTGCTTATAAATCCCACCAAAATTACTTAAGTTTTTAAATTATGTTTGCAAAATGAAGCATTTCAGACTTTGACCTTAACTTTTATTGGTTGCAGCAATCTATATCTGGCATATAATCAGAGATAAGTAACTTCATTCACTGTCAGGTCATGTGCAGGTTCTGTCCACATTTAATGATTTAAAGAAAGAGGCTTTTCTTTCACAATGGACCTGATCACCGGCTTTTACATAAATGTGTTTTTTCTCCATATAAGTATTTTAAAGACAGAGTTAGTTAGGCTCCCCAGTTGTATAAGTGTCACTAGTGAGCTCTAATTAAATGCATTCAAAAGTACACAGGAATATGTCACAGCAACATTTCATTAGGTCAGCCAAGTCCAGATAGTACAATTGTGATAAAGGCTAACTCAAAGTTACAGTGTTTGTGTCTTTCATAGTAGTACTTTATCTAAGGAAAAAGATGTGCCCTCAAAATACCTTTCCCACTATTTAGTAATGGTTGTCAGGACATTATTTTTCATTATTGTCTCTGGCAGTTATGATGAAAGCAAAATTTAGGTGGTTTATATAACATACTTTTTCATCCTTGGGGGGGACAGAACTGTAAAATGTAAACAGAAGATACACCAATATAGTTACCCACAGAAATTTCCATGCCACAGAAAATGGAAAATTCAAATGTTAAAATTTTTGCTATGTTCTGTTGGGAGAGAAGAAGCAAAGTAAAATTCAAGCTAAGCTTTCTGAAATTCCATCTTCTTCCCATGGATTTCCATTTCCCTGGGCAACTTGGAGGGCAGAATCCAGACCACATATATTTAAAACACCATTACAATAAAAACCTAATGGTGTGTGATCCATCATATGATCCCATACATTCCTGTGAGTTATGCACAAATATCTGTGGCAAACAAGCAGCTACCTAGAGGACTGCATAAAGATGGGAAAATAATTAGGAAGGTTAATTGGGCTTTGGTCCTGTGTTTCATGGCCTTCCATCACAGCCCAAAGAGATGTGCTTCTCCCCAGCAGTTTCAGTTCATCCTGATGCATGGGCTCTGCCGAGGGCTTGAAGATAGTTACATCATAGGCGGGAGCTGGAAGGGAAGAGTTTAGATCAGTGGTAGGACTTGCAGGCAGAATGGTCTCCAGTCACACACAAACCCAGATGGTAACATTTGTTGATCTTTTTCCTTGTTTGTTTTCCTTTTTTTTTTTTCCTTTCCTTGCTTCCCTTTCACTTTTGTTTTTTATTTATTTATTTTTGCTTGGAAGAAAACATTGAAATGTTATTAAGCATGAAAAGAATTATGGATAGTGACATTCAGACATTTAACTTCTGTGTACAGCTTTGAATTTAGTGGTGTATATGCAGTCATGTTGATTTTATCAGACGAAAAATTAGAGAACTTGGTTACCTGGTACGTTTAAATATAAGCTTCATGCCAGGAACCGTCTGAATTTCAGTGGTTTCCATTGAGAAATGTCAGACATGATGGCCGCATTCTCAGGATGGTATAACTCATATAGATTTAAATAAATGGAATTATATCTGTTTAGAACAGGTAAATATTTGGCTTAAGCATACTGTGCAAGCAGATACACCTAAAATGATGCTTTGGGTATATACTGTAAAAAAATTATACGGAGCAAACCCACTATAGGACTCCAGACAATTCTTCAACAAGTGTGATTTATCATCACTCTGCTGATTTCAGTAAGGCTGGGAGAATTTATATCAGCATCACAGTGATGCCTTCTTCTCATGCCATAAAGTAAGATCTGGCGGTCCTCGGAGCACAGGGATCCTGTATGAGGAACACCAAATTTCATATCTCTGCAACTTGTAAGAGTTTTAAAAGTTGAACTACAGAGATTTTTGAACCAGGTTCAGAAGAAAAAGTTGTCAAGGAAGAAATGCAGCTGATACCATTAGGAGCATGTTCTAATGATCCTGACACATGAACTGCAGTTCCTCTGTTTTCTTCCCAGTTCAGGGTCATACATGCACCATAGGCACTAGCTGCTGTGGTTTGGCATGAGAAATAGTCCATGCCAAAAAACAAGACAGAGCTGTTTGATTTTTAGGGATCGTCCCCTGTTGTTGTTAAGGTAGCCCAGTCTTTGCTGTAATATTGCTGCACTGATACACCTCATCTGAAAGACAGGAGATGGTTGCTTGCTGTTTGTGTTAAATTAGCACTTCCAGTATTGCTTTAACATTGCCTGTCACTGGATACTGCAAGAATATCTGTTGAGGCATGTTCCAGTTAGCACGTGTGGGAAAGGGATGGAGTCTTGGAAACCCAGACTCCTAAAAGCCCAGACTCCTGGCTGTTAACAAAACACAGAGTAGTCAGAGGACCCACCAGCAAATTATATAGGATTTCTGAAGAATATTTCAGAAATCTCATGTTGTCAGCATTATTTTTAGGGAAAATGCAATAATGATGTGTCATTCTCCAAACCGATTATGTCTTTTACCTGAATGCTGCCAGTCTCCTATGTGGTGTCATCTCACATGGTACGTGTTGCAATCAGGCTTGTCCCTCAGGCATCAAAAGAAGTGACTGTTCAGTATCTACAGAGGTTGCATTGAGAAGTTATAGCTACAGCCTCCCATTTGTTCTCTTTATCAGTTGTTACTGTTTGGCAACTAATTGGATAGTGAAGGATAGCTAATCTACGCCTTTTCCCTTTGTGTGTGTGTATACTTTTTTGTTTTGTAGGCAGAATTTGCAGACAGCAAAATGCAATGCTGTGCAGTGCAGTCATCACCTAAGATAACGCTGGTAACTCCGTCGCCTGTACTGAGGTCTTTGGCAGAGACTGTACCGACTCCAACAGTCCAGACAGTATATACGTCACATAAACCGATTTCGCTGGCAGACAGGTACTGTGCAGTTCTTTCACAGAAATACTATGATGCTCTCTGCATTAAAGGAATCAGCTTGATTTCCGGTTTTCTGTCATATTTACCATAAAGTGTCATTTCCTTCTATACTGAAAGATTGCTGCTTGTGGATTATGTAAAGAAATACCTGTAACTCATATCTGCTCTGAGAAAAAAAAATACTACCTTAATCAGCTGCTGCAGCCAGCAGCCATTTCTACAGCCAATGGCCTGGAGAGAAAGAGTTGTGCAGATTTTGCTCAGGCAAGTCATTTTGTCTGAACCACAAAGGTTTTGTTTTAATAATTGCTGTTGCAATTTGTTTTTTGAAATTAAATGTCCTTCGGGGAAAGCTGAGGTTGAGAAATGTCTGTTCTTCTAAATGAAAAACGCATTTATTTTATTTCTTGTTCTCCCTTTTTTTTTCCTTTTTCTTTTTTAATGATGTCAAGCTACAGTGATCTTTCATGTAGGTTCTCAGAGAAACAGCAACCTATCCATCTTTCCACAGGCAGACTGTTTTCAGTTTTCTATTCTTTCATCCTATTGGTTTTCCATGCTTGCTTCTTATTCTAGAATTTAATAAAAGCTGAATTTCACAGGCTGATAATTGACAGAATACAAACATATGAGTGGATATACTCAGTAGTTCTGGAGCACAAATAATCCTAGGCTTATGTTGAAAAGTATTTCTTTGGCATCATAATAAATGAGTCTTTTTTAATTTTGGATTCACAGTCAGTTCCCATTTTTGGTTGTTAATTATATTTTGTAGATGTTGGCTAATTGCACCTGCACACTTCTTCAACATTGCTAAGTCATCTAAAAATTTATCATTCCAGTGAAAATGTAATTCTGAAGCTGTAGTGCTGAACTTAGCTTCTGTAGGATGTCTCAAGTGGATAATTCTACACCTGCTTGTTCATGAATGGGCTGCAAGGTCTCTGCACGGCAGTTTAAATCTCCAAACTGTTTTTGTAAAACATTAGATACCTAATTTTCAGAACAACACAGCAAACAGTTTCAGAAATGGAATCTCTAATCCAAGGCATTTCCAGTGTTACAGAGCTTGTGTGCTCTGGAGTGAATTGCTATGTGAGAGCAAGGACTTTAGGCTCTGACTCCCATATCCTGGTATGTGCAGGGCTGTGGTAAATTCAGCATATACAGATGTCCCCCTGTATCCGACCATGCCAAGGAGCAGGAGGCTGTTACAGCAGTATTTCATGATGGCATTTGCTGTAACTGTTTCATTTTTAGAGTCCTAGTCCAGCTTCCTTTGAAGTCAGTAACCTTTAATGAGGGTTAGATGAAATCCTAAATTGTTTTGCCATGTGGCAAATTATGTCCTTTTTCTTGCCTCTTCAGAAATATCAAGTGGTGCTTGTTTTTAAATCAGCCATCAGTTATCAGCTTTTTCACTGAATTGAGTCTGACCTTTTTTTCCCCTCCTTTGGTATTTTGAAAATGTTAATTATTTTAAATTGAAATCTAAAACTTATTGTTGTTCCCATAATTGGCTGTTTGTGCATTAATTACACAGCGCTGAGACTCTGAGGCGTGAACTTGAGAGAGAGAAAATGATGAAAAGACTCTTGATGACAGAATTATGAAATTCGCACTTCCGTCAGATGGAGAATGGATTGGGGCCTTTCATGTGCCTTCTGTCTGTTTACATTCCTCTGCTTCTGTGTACTCAACATAACGCATCGGGAAAATGTGTGATATTCCTGGCTCGCCTGGATTCACCACGGTTGGTTAAAATTACGTCTCAGCTAGACTTTAATTTGAAGGAGTTCCTTTATTCATTTGCTGCTGGGAAATAAACCTTCAATCCTTTATCTCTCCTGAGATTTTATACTATTAACACAATTAATTTCTGGTTTGGTTTTGGTAAATCTAGGGCAAAAAAGGATCAGCAAGGAACATACTGATTTCTATTGGGAAACACTGTTCTGTACATATGTTAATAAGTGCACAGAAATTAATGTTATGCAGAATATTTTGATAGTAACATAGAAAATATGTCATTTTGTACAACTGAAAATTGCGATGAGCTACTGCTATTTGTTAAAGAACCATTTTTAAAGCAGAAGAATGATTATTACATCCTAACCCCAGGACTGTTAGTCTCCACGGAATAAATGGCTGTCTTATTAAATTCCTAACCTTAACCTTCACTCAGAGATATAAATAGCTGCAAAGGGGAAAGACACCCCACCATACAGATATACACACCCAACACTCCCTATAGTTTGTCATGTTGACCTAAACCTTCAACTCGATCTTAACGTATTTCCATTAATGAAAAAAAAATCAGTTGTTTAAAGCAATTTGCTACTGACTTTCTAGCTTGGTACTGACTTTTTTTAAGTAAGTGAGGAGTTTTACCTTCTCCAATCTGCCTAGGCATTAGGGCTTGCCCACGCTCAGACATCTTCTGCCCCAGCACTGAAGGTTGCAGAGCCTCAGCGGCGTGGACGTAACTCACACAGGGAGAATTTTTTCCCTCCCAGGTAAATAAACCACCTTCCTGACTGACGTGAATTGATCGATCACTTTAAAGAACAAGAACAATGATAGTTTACGGCATAGCTTGCCTATACCCATTTTTTTTGCTCTGGTAATCAGCACATATGTCCTGGCAAACCTGTGGAGGGTACACCTGGCTATATAACCCCTTCACCTCTGACACGCAAACAGCCTCTACGTCCAGTGGAGCTATCTCAGGCATGAGGTGGGTGGGTGGTCCAGCACTAGCAGACCTGCAGCCGCAGGGAGGGAGTTTATGGTATACAGGTAATGCTGCCAACTATTTCCTAGGGAAAAAAAAAAAAAAAGAAGAAGTTCTCTGTTTCCCCTTGTTCAGTAGTGCAGGGTCATCTAGAAAACTAACATCTGACTGTCAGCTATAAGGTACTCTTTCAACAGGAAAGCTTTTATGCATTTTGTATGGCTGAAGATGTATATTTTTCTGTTGCTCTGTACACTATGTTCTCTTGTTTGTATTAAGATAAAAGATTGCCCCTCATTTGGTACTGATTACGATGACTTTATCTTAGCTTAAGCAGTTTGTTTGTGTGGAGGCCAGAAAGTGATTGCTGTGAGACTGAGTTTCCTTCAGAGTTGCTGTTTTTCTGAAATGAGAGTTATGGAGAGCTTCACAGGACTGTGGATTGCGATGTGAAGGTATAAAATGACTTGCCTATTTTATGTTTACTGGGACAAGAAATTAGCATTAGGCTTCCCATTTAAATCCACCAAACCCAAAACTTTCTGTTTGCCATAAATTTGTTAAAAATACTCAGCACAAGTGTTAGGTAGAAAATCACAGTACGAATTTAATCAAGTGGCTCAACATAGGCAGTGGGCACAAGGAGCCACAGAAAGAAACCTGAACTGCAGATTTTAGAACACTACAGTGACTTTTCTGGGTAATCAGATATGACTTGTATGCTGTCTACCCTCTAGTTACAGTGCCAGGACACTTCTGTTCCTCATGTTCTAATGCACCACGCCATCAGTCCAAGGTTCTTAAAAATTGATTAGGAACATTAAATCCCTGTGAGGAAATCAGAAGGGAGGGGGGAATTAATAGACATAAAAGACTTCAGCTTCCATGTCCTGTTACTCTTTTCTCACCGCTTCTCAAAGGGGCTGGTGAAGGAAAAGCAGCAGCACATTTTGCCTTTGTACAAGGAAGAGTGAGCATTCTGAAGAACAAATAAAAGAAAATTGTAATTAGAGATGCTGGTTTGGGAGAGGAAAACAAAGAAGGTTGAGAACGTCACAGTGCTGACTCTAGCTGAATCTGGTCTTTTGCCTGTTAGGCAATCTCTGGTTGTGTTTGAACTGGCAACAGTTTCACGAAGTCATTGTCAAGGAAAACCAGAAAAGAACAGATCTGAACATACCCTTCAGTCATACTGATTGCCTTGGAGTGGACTTTCTGAACCCCACAATATGCCTTCAGGTTTGGGGGCAAAACAAATCCAGTTACCCGTGTTAGGACAGTCTGGTCACATAAACAAAAGCAAAACTGAATAGCTGATTCAGACCAGCCCATCAGATGTTCTGGCTCATAAACAGTCTATTAGTTTATTAGTTTAAATGCAACAGTTTTGCTCCCATTGTACAAAAAGTCTTCAGCTGAAATAGCCAGAACTGGAAAACAAAAAATGTGAACAAAGGTTACTTTACATGGCTGTCTTTATAGCTGAGGCATTCTCTGGGATAGCTAAGGAAGAACAGGGACTCCTCCTTCTTTGGTTCCCACCAGGAGAAGAGGGACAGGCTCATGTGGCTGCTTAGTTTCTGTGGGACGTTTTCTACAGAACAACCCCAAGTACGTTGCCTTGTCATGTTTTAGTGTCTTATCCACTGGCTGCCACCATTTCCTATTCAGCAGTCTAATGGAACTTTATTAAAACTGTTTTACTGATAACAAACTAAACTTTTAACTGTGGAATGTCATCACCTTGTTTTTTCTTACTGTGTACCTTCTTCAGCCATGCTTCAGCGTCTCAGTTTTCACATCCTCTGAAGAAACACTCCTGCCTCATCTCCAGTTGGGAATTACAGTGTTACAACACCTGTTACCCAAAGCTACTTAAACAAGACAATGCCAACATGAACATATTGCAGAGGGGCAGATAGTCTAGGTTTGCCCCTACAATTTAACTTTACAGGTGTTAAAGGATACTCTGCCCGGGGGTATGTCTATATAATAGTGCAGAAGTATCTGAGCTAGCTTTAATGAGCTTGCATATGTAGTTGTGGCAGCATGAAGCCCAGCACAGGCTATCATTATCATGTACATTGACATGTGTAAAGATAATGCATTTGAACAGCAGCCTTCTGAAGCATGATCTCCAGAGTTGGTGATAGGAAAGGGTAGCTGAAAGGAGTTTGTCTCTTCAGCTGTCCTGGGACAGGGTTCATCTCATCTAACATTAAAATGCCCAGCTCTCACCTGATGAGAGATCAAAGGAACTGTCTTCCGGAGGTGCCTCTGACTTAAATGTCTACCTTTATATTGATTAAAGTTACATGAGATGAATCCTGCTTTCTGTCCCACTGGTTAGGCCTACATTGCAAACCCTTGCTGACACAGCTGCATCATTCAGGGTTGAGCTTTGAAGTATAATTTGTGATCGACATAGCTCTGCCAGACAAAGCCTTGCGCGTTAGGTGTAAATATACTACCGGAAATATCCTGTTTTCAGAACAGCTTTTATCCCTTACGGGGAGACAGAATGCTGGGGTAACAACTTGCAGTGGCATAAGCACAGAGGCTTCCCTGGAGTTGTGACCCATCTGGGGGTAGTTGGTTGATGAAACCTCCTGCTACAGCCATGCTGGCAAAGCCTATCAGAGGTGGCCCTGGCTTTTAACAGTGCCCCAGGTGGTGCTCTGACCCAGTCAACAGATCCCAGCTTTTCAGCGTGAAGTCTCTAGGTGGCAGAATGCAATGTTGTCATGTTTGGGTGATTCCAGCAAAATTTATTGGCCATTTAAATAGCTATGCAAGGAGTTAAATATTTTCTCATATTGCAGCCTCTTATGGAAGCCAACCAATTGTGCTTTTTTTTGTGTGTTTCAGCTGTTTTCACTGTTTTGTTTTAAAAGGAATAACTGGGTTTTTCTTTAGAAATGTTATTTGAGATTCCACACCTCTCTCAGATCCCATGGTATGTGCAGATTTTTCATGTTTCATAGACCCTGGAAGTGCAAAATTTGAAAATTAACTCCTCCAAGGTTTCTGTTCATGGCTTCAATACTCTCTTGCAACAGGATGCCTACGTGCCCATTTGAAACAGAGCTGGCAATGCAGTGAAATGTTTCATTGGAGGTAGTATCATGTTTTGTTTGAACTGTTCACAAATAGCTTTTGGGTTTATTTATTTATTTTTTCCAAATACATTTCTGGTTCATTTGCTACAAAAACCTACTTGTAATTTTGCAATGAGATTTTTCTTTTTTTTTTTCTTTTTTTTTTTTTTTTTTTTTTAATGTCCTGATGTTCAAGGAGTTTGCAATAAATATACTGAGACTGATCTGTAATTGCATGTAAGATTAGCCTCACAACTGTGTTTTGTAAAGTTAAGTGCCGTAAAAGAAGCTGTAGATGACATGGAGAAGGAGGGAAGAGGATAGAGAGTAAGTGGAGGAGAAGGCTTCTTTGGCAGCTGCAGCTTTGACTGGTGGGTAGCAGCTTTAGCGTAAGACTGCTCAAACCATTTTGTTTCATTGAGTAGCAGCGTGTATCATCAGACAGTGTTTGATGGCATTTTGTTGAAAACCTGCCTAAAGAGAAACTTTTACGGCTCAGCTGTTTACCTGTTCCTGTATTCATGCCTGCAATAAATGAGATGAAAAATAAATCACCGAGTCTGAGCAATTTGTAGTAAAATCAGTCATTTAGGAGGCATGGGCAGGATGCCAATTAAAGGAAATATTTGGTTGCTAATAAAGTGGATCCACTATCATAAGAAAATTGCAATCTAAGGAAAAAACACAGAGAGAATTTCTTCATAAAGCCCAGAGGGTTTCCTCCAGCTTGAAGTTACAGTCCAGTGTGGGGTGCCAATCATCTGCGGGGTCATTAGTTGGGGCACGCTTTGCTGAATACCAGAGCCAGAAAAACACTGGCAGGATCAAGGCAGAGAAACACAAAACTTGGCATGTTTCTGGTCTTTCATCTGGGGCTAAAAAGGCAGCAAAAAGCATTCCTATTGTGGAAGGGGTAGGGAGAAATCTTCCACACAGGGCTGAGAGACACCAAGGTATTAAACTGCTCCATAGAGGAAAATTTAAAAATGTCCACCAACAAACAACACAGCAGACAAAGCCTGTTCATTGTAAATTTTTTTGTTTTAACACAATTAAAACATTTTACTCAGATTTTTGCCCCTGATTTTCCCATTCTTTAAATGTCTAAATGAAAAGTTGCCTCAGACTGAAACATTTCCCTTCTCTTTTGTTCAAAGATCTCTAAATCAGAATGTTTTGACATTAACTTTCCTAGTACACTTAGGAAATTAAATCCAAGCAATGTTCAGCCCATTTTCTAAGGTTACCAAAACTCTATATTCAGAAAGAATGCAATCCCATCCCAATTTCTCCATCTGGATATTCTTCTATTTTTAATCTCTATGTGGGGAAAGCAGAGGAGCAACAGATCAACATTCTTCCATCACTACTCAATTTATACCAAGAAAATGGATTATCCAGACAGTTAACCTAGTTAATTAATTCCCCTTAATACACGTCTTTGCTAAAGAACAGTGTTCTGGGGTGCAGCAGAATGAGAAGCTGTGTGCTGAAAGGTCAGCAAATACTCTTGGGTAATTTGGCTGCAACAGAGAAGCGTGGGGACTTCAGAGATGTATATGAACAATTTTTTGGTTCATTATCAGATGACTGATCTATGAGACCAAGTGTGAGGTCGTTGAGATTAATTCTGTTTCTCTGGGGACATGCTTTCTAGAGCAGAATACAGACTTTGCAGGGAGGCACTGTTAAGTCAGGGCAAGGGGGATGGTTTCAGCCTGGCTGTGGTACACAAATCCTGCAGCAACAAGGGGGTAGGAAGGAACCCACAAGGGTGCAGATGCAGGTGAGTGGAAGAAACCCCGAGCCTCATGAAAGGTGATGGTCATGCCCTTCCCAAGCACAGTGAAGCCTTTAGGGCTGGCCAGCACTGGGATCCCCGTGCCCAAGGGCAACTTGCCCTGAGGGGCAACCCTACAACAAAGCCCATATCAGGGCTGGCTGTGACCTGACTTGCTGGAGGACACGCCAGGGAATGAGAGAAATAAAAGATCAACCATTGCCCTTTCCCAACCACCCCAGGACATGTTCATGAGAGCACCCCAGCTTCTGGTGTCTGATGAGGAGAACAGGCTTGCCTTTTTTGTGAAAAGCTGGACATAGGATCAGCTTAGCTGTGGCATCAGATGTGTTTGACAACCCTGACCATTACAGTTATGTCTTGTGTGCTGCCAGTAGCACATATGGTCTGTTAGATGTCTTCTCACCAGTCTTTAGGGTCTGTGATGGTCAGGAGAATAAGGAGGAAAACAACAGGGAGAAAGAGCAGCAAACAACCCACACTGTCACCTGCTGAGAAGCCTGATGGCAAAGCACTGCCTAAAATAATGTTTGCCTTTTTACTTTATTTTAAAATTACATGTATAAAACTGCCTCATTACATAAGCAATATGCATTTTATACTAATTATGTTATTTTTAATAAGCATTTCTACAGTGTGTGTTTGGTATACAACATCAGTGACTGCACAGCTCTGCCATCAAAGTATCTAGCATAGCAGTGAGACATAAAAGCCACATGGATCTTTACTGTTTCGTTCACTGATTATTCAGCTCTTCAAGCAGAGAGCCACTTAATCCCCCTGCATCATTCTTCCGCTGCCTTTCATTAGCAAACTCTTGTGGAAATCCAAGGAAAACACAGCAAAAATTCTTTTCTCAAAAGATATTTGGTCAGTTCTGGATCCCTTTCCCCACCCGCGACGTGGGGGAGCCCAGTTCTAGTTCCATCTCCATCTGAAGAACCATTCCGACGTCTTGAGGGATGGGGAAAGGGAACTCCAGGGACAGGGTTTTTCAGGCCCCGAGCCTGGAGGGGAGAGGTGCCGTCCCCTCCCCCCATGCACGTGGCCCCATGGCTGGTACAGAGACAGCACAGCGGCGTGGAGAGGAGGCAAGAGAGCGTTTATTGTTGGGGATGTTACATTTATAGGGTTAGGAAGAATCACAGGTTAACCAATTACAGGTCGCAGGAAGGGGTTAACAACCAATAGGAAGGGGTTAAAGGGGGCCAATGAGAAACACCTCAGGACACCTTCCCAGGACACCTTGCATGGGATAACACTTGTCGTGGGGGGTGTTGGGAAGAAGAAGCATGTGTTTGCAAAGAGACCACAAAGCCATTTTGAAGCATGTTTAAACAAGTTTCTCATCAGATTCACTGCTACAGTCAGTGATGCTTAGCATCACAGGGCCTCAATGATGTGAAGAACTCAAATATTTTTTTTTTAATTATTTGCCTTACTGCTTTCAAAAGCAACAACAAAAAATGTGATTTCTGTGCTAACTGTTTCCCGCTCTGCTCTGACCACTGCCCCCCTCGAGCAGTGCCAGGCTCAGCAAGGGCACAAAGTGGCTTGGAGGGAGAGGATAAGGATTGGATGGGGTTTTTTTTGGAATGGGGGGGGTAATGCCAACACCACCCAGCACTTCTGTCTTACCTGTGGTACATTTCTTTCTGTGGCTTACACAACATCTATGTTCCGAGCTGGGATGCGTGATGCCCTGATGGGAGCTGAGAAGACCCTGTTTGCAGCTCCAGGGTCGCCCAGGGAGGGTTTGGGGCTGGTAAGGCTGAGAGCTGTGGTGCTTGTGTATGTAAGAGGCATCCATAAGAGCTAAGGCTCTGGAGGTTTTGGAGGCTGCCTTGTGCCTACGTTGTGTGGGCATGAGGAGATGCACGAGGCTCTGGGGAGGAAGGTCAGTGTGAGCTGCCCTCTACCTGGGTGTGCAAAATTAGGGATTTAATTGTAGGGGCATCACTGTGAGACAGACCACTCCTCTCTCCTGCAAAGGAGTTTCAAACTTGTGCCCTCCAAAGCTGACTAAACCCCACAGGGCCAGTCTTTGCTCAAGGAACAGAGCAAGGTCTGCAGCAGAGCTGTAGTCACTGCCTTTGGCAGTACACGTGCTTGCTCTGAATGAGCACAGCAGTGCCCTTGTCACGCTGGCTCACAGCTCTTTTGTGGCAACACAAGGATGACAGCCCCTGAAAAGCACCTCCACCAAGGCTGCTGGTTTATGAAATTAGGGAGGGGAAGTGCTGGAGCTAACTTAGCTTTGCAGCCCAAGAGCACTCCCATTTTTTCACTTCCAGCTCAACATGCCAAGGCTCAGTGTGGGTTCTTGACAACTTGCCCTGGTTATTGCAAGCCACCAAGAACAGAAGGTACCTCCTCTAATGACCTGCCTTTCAGCCCCTTCATATCTTTCTATGCCATTCTGCTAATCCTTCCTTCTCCCTTCTCTGTTTGGCACTCACTCGCAAGGCTGGTTCATGGGTGCCTGCTTCCTTCACCCCTGTGGGCACCCCTCCCCTCCCACACAAGCACCTCTGGCTTTTTTTGGCTTTCCAGTTGAAAATCTTTTGCCTTTTTGAAGTCCCTTGCCAGCCCTTGCTTTCCATGACCCTCAGTATGTTCTACCTGTCTTCTGTGTCTCACTATTCTCTCCATCTCCCCTTCCGCTGTCCCAGGACCAGTGTCTGATAAGCATTACAGCACAACAGGTTTTCTTGCCAACCAGGAAACCTCCATGACGTGATCTGTCAATAGGGACCAGCTGCCTAGTGGGGGTCTGCCATCAGCCATGGCTGTGGGGGCTCTCCTCAAGTCCAGTAAATATCTGTGGGTACACTGCTCAGCCTTGGTGAAGCTTCTGCCTATTCCATGGAACCAGAGGCAGGAAGGACACAGAGGAGTAGTTTTAAAGAGGGAATGCTGTCATTTGCTTTACCCTTGAAGTGAGTGATTTTGCTCTCATATTTTGGATGGTTAAACTCTATTTTAACAGTAAGACCTTCATAAACAGAAGGACCCTGAAGAAGCATAACCAAAGGTACCTTCCTTCCCTCCTTCCCTCCCTCCTTCTCCCCTTTCTTTCTTTTTGCTTCAGACAGCATATTTTTGCAACCTCCGTCTCCTCCTCATACTCCTGCAGGGTAGCAATGGCCATCCCTTTATCCCTGAGATCTTTGGCTATGTTGCTCCATATACTGAGAAAAACAAAGCAAAACAAAAACCATGCCTGTAAAGCAGCATCTTAACAAGCCAGAATTGTTAAATACCTTCCTGGAGGGCGAAAAGTCCCTTCTCTGACAGTCAGAACGATGTTTTCAAGCAATTTGCCCTCTTTCTCCCCTTATGGGGTTTCCCATCCTCCCCCAGCAGCATGGTATTGGTTCCCTCTCTGAAAAAGCTGCATTAGTGCAATGACAAAATACTGCACTACCAGTCCTCTGTCCCATTCATGGTGCCTTGAAACATCTTCCCACACAGGAGTGGTCTCCACAACTGCTGCGCCATGGCTTGCCGGGCCCAGCAGACCCAAACACTGGGAGTTGCAGGTAGGCTGACTCTTCACTGCACCCAATAGGTCCCATGATAAGACCATGGGAAGCTGAGAAATGAGTTTGGCAGAGAAGAGAGTGCCATGGTGGGTCTCAGCAGCCTGCTTCTCAGAGGTGACACATCTCCTAGCTGTGTGCATTACCTATTCAACGGCAAAAGCTCCAGGCTCCACTTTTTA